GTGGCTGAAAAAGTGATGGACAAACTTGAAAGGAATTACAGTCAACAGTTAAGGAATTTTGTGATAGCAAGCTCATCGGAAAATGAATATAGTACACTTCGGGGTGTCATATTTGAACAGATCGCACATCGAATTTTACAAAAGGGAGGGACATTTAATATTCGTCCTTTAGAATCTGGCATCACAAGTTCTATAATTGAAATTCCAGAACGGTATTTAATGACATTAATAAGATCGAGGAGGGCAAGTACTGTCAACCAATACAAAAGAATTTTACATCCATTGATGCAGTTGTTGCACCTGACACACTCTTCCAGATGACCATGAGCAAAAGCCATCCTATTAATATGAATGGCATGAAAAAGCTTGTTGAAAAATTGGGTGGAAAGTCAGGAACAAATCATATATATTTTTATTTTGTCCTACCAAAAGATTTATTTGATAATTACCAAGCACAGCACTTTCATACTACTGGCAAAACTGTTGCTAAGAAGATACCACATTGGATTACTAATCGTGTTAAGCAATATGCATTGGAAATTGACTTGAGTTCCTGATAAGTTTACCATATGGGTTAGATTACATTAATTTTATCATGTATTACAGACTTGTGTGATTTTTATTATTGCAAATTTTTATAAAAAAATATTTTAATTGCACAAAAATCATTTTTTATGTGGTGGGACAATGGGATGGATTTGTGTTAATCTGTTAATCAGATTTGCCTTTCAGCTGAAAAATTCAGGGATCTCAATTTTCATTACTAATAATTATGGAGGGCTAAAGATAAGCACAAGGGATGAATTCTTTGATCTTTATTATTACAATTCACAATTACATATTCATGACTTTCTTTTCTTTACAAGGTCTATAATTAGAAACAATTATGCCAGAGTTTCCTTACATGATTGCAAAAAACCAAATTCATTCCTTGGACTGCCACAAAACATATAAAAATGAAGTATGTTTCATTGGTTAGTCCTTTTATTCACTTTGTGCAGTAAACAAAAAATCAAAGGAAAATTAAAACCAATAATATTATACTTAACTCATTAAACTGCAAAACTGCTATATGAGTATAAATCCACAAAACATAGGAACTAAGGGTATGATGGTTCAAATGCATTAGCCTTATTATTTCTTCATCCATATATGCTTATCACCTTTTTTTCTGTTTGTAGATGATCCCAATTGATTTTTTGGAGGCTTTTCTCTCTGTATATCTAATAATCACCAGCACATGTCTGTCTCATATCTCACATGATTTGTGCAGTATCACAAATATATGTGTTATGATCTCTGAAAAAATAAACTTCACATAACTCTGATGGTCTACACTACTGTGGAGAATCTTCATGATTATTATGTGATATTGTGCTCACATACTCCCAATTACACCCTCCAGTATGAGTTCAAAGTCATTGACATACTGAACTAATACCTTGGCTTTTAATCCTAGTTATGCATTGTGCTTCAGCCAGGGATGGAAATTCTTGAGTAGTGTCATCATCAAAAATCTGCTTGACAGCATGTCAATGACAATCCCCCATAGATGGGTCTGATTCATTTCGTCAGCAATCATTTTGTCAACAGTCATTTTGTCAACACCCATTTCATTGAATGTTCATTTCATCAAAAATTATTTTCTCAAACAAATTTCTCCTCACACTTCCCACACACCCCACTTTCCTCATCTAATTTCTTAACTAACTTCCCACACTCCTCACATCTAACTCATTCGGTCTCTGGCTCAAGGATGAAATAATTTTTGATGAAATGAACATTCAACAAAATGAACATTTGATGAAACAAATTTTCAATGAAATGAACTTTCGATGAAATGGGTGTCAATGAAATGATTGTTGATGAAATAATTTTCAACAAACATCAGGAAAATAAACCTTATGTAAACCTACGTAAGGTTCATAATTGGCCAGCATTATACGGAATTGTTAACAGAATTACCAAAATCTTGACACAATGCTGGCCAATTATGAACCTTACGTAGGTTTACGTAAGGTTTATTTTCCTGATGAAGTAAATGCGACCACCCATCATCATAGACTGGGGTGTACAACATTTGAGTGTTTTCTTAGATACTTTATTATTAGTAGCATTTTGAAGAATAATTTAAGCAAAAATTGTTTCACTGTGTGGTCACATGTCCTGACCGATTGATATTAAGTTAATATCATATTTTTTTGTTTCATTCACAAAAAATAATAAGTGCACTCCATACATTAATTAAAGCTTTTGAATATATCCATGCCTTGTATAAAACAATGGAAAACCCTCAACCCTATGCAAAGTTTGCACACTCTCAAAACATACTTAAATTTGCATAGAAATTAAGTATTATTTAAGTGTAACATCAGTGTGAATTAAGTAGAAAATAAGGATGTCAGTATACCCTTAAAACATACTTATTTCCTACTTGAATGTTACTCATTTTTAATTGTTGTATTCTCAAAATTAATAGTAATAGTATATAAACAATTATTTTATTTTTTTATTTTTAAATATGAAAAATACAAATATTTTTCTATTTCTAAAAATGTAATAGTAAAAGTATTTTCTGTTTTTTTGTCTAGTTTTTTTTTAATGAATCAATCATTTAACCACATATTTTTTTTTGAAAAAGAAATAAGTAATAATATATATATTAATATTTAATTTTACCCTTTTCTATTGTCCATGCCCATTTACATTAGTGGAACCTAGTAGAAACAGGATGCATATGCATGTTTACGTTATGCAAATATTTCATAAGTCCTGATATGGGACTGAGCTACCTTTATGTAAATGAACAGATTATGCAAATATACTGTATGCAAAATAGACAGGTGCAACTGTATAAATAATTGAGTCAGATGCAATTAAAAATTGAGATTTTAGGAATTGAGTCAAAGCCAAATTAATT